GGTGTATGTGGCTGGCGCCCTAGCCACTGAGCTATAGGTGCCAAGCCAACAAAACTCCTTCTATCTGTAAATTCATCATGTTGCCAAGCATGTTATATTTTATTTCCTTCTTTCTTCTCTTTTTGGACATTAAAATTAATTCTAAAATGTAGGTGAGGATGCATGTGATCCAAAATGCATTAGCAGAACCCCAGCTCCTGGTCTTGCGTGGCCCCAGTTGTTCCCTCTCCTCAAAGGTAACATCTTTACCTGTACTCCCGAAAGGTAACATCTTTACCTGTACTCCCGTGGACAGTCTTCAGCTTTCAAGCAAGTGAAATTATACAGTATACATGCACATATCTAGCTGGGTTTTCCGTCTACATTATGTCTATGAGCCGTCCCTGTTGTTGTGTGTGGCAATAATAAACATTCAGATGTTTATTAACATCCAGTCTTCATTAGGTTAATAAAATTCAGTCTTTCATTGAAAAAAAAAATGTGCAGCTGAAACATGATGGGTTTCTGTAATAAAAGGGGCCTTCATTTCTACATGGACTTTCACCCTCTAAGACTGCGGTTCTCAACCTATGGATCACAACCCCTTTGGGGGTAAACGACCCTTTCACAGGGGTTGCCTAAATACATCCTGCATATCAGATATTTACATTACAATTCATAACAGTAGCAAAATTACAGTTATGAAGTAGCAACAAAAATGATTTTATGGTTAGGGGTCACCACAGCATGAGGAACTGTATTTAAAAGGTCGTGGCGTTAGGAAGGTTGAGAACCACTGCTCTACGAGGATCTGAACCACATAGGTTGAAGAGGAGTGCTTTTCAATCTTTTGTATTTCAGGGCTCACTTGAACCTACAGTTAACTTTCACTTAAATTAGGTTGATTTGGCTCGGCACCTGTGGCTCAAGTGGCTAAGACGCCAGCCATGTACAACCAAGGTGGCAGGTTCGAATCCAGCCCAGGCCCGCCAAACAATGACGGCTGCAACCAGAAAATAGCCAGGCATTGTGGTGGGTGCCTGTAGTCCCAGCTACTTGGGAGGCTAAGGCAGGAGACTCGCTTGAGCCCAGGAGTTGGAGGTTGCTTTGAGCTGTGATGCCATGGCACTCTACCCAGGGGGACAGCTTGAGGCTCTGTCTCAAAAAATAAATAAATTAGGTTGATTTAAAAAAAAAAAAAAAAAGAATATACTTACTGTGCTTTGAACTGCTTTTGAAAATAATTAAATTAATCTTTAAAAAATTTTCCAGCACATGGGTTGAAAATCACTGGTTTAGAGCATGGAGCAGGTCAGCAACAGGGTAAATGAACAAACCTGTTCGCAATCTAGTGCTGGTTCAAGTTCCCCACGGCAATACAAACATATTGCTTCAAGTTCTCATAGTCAAATGTTGATGTGAGTCTATGACTCCCCAACCCTTGTCCTGAATGAAGCTCAGAGTGTGGTGCCCCTTGCAGGAGGACGTCCTCCTGTGGCACAGGCAGGAAGCACAGGCCCTGCAGTCAAGCAGACCTGTGTTCAAACCCTGTCCTTTCACATACCACTCATGAGACTTTGGACAAACTACTTCACCTCTCCTAGCCCAGTTTTCTCATCTGTAAAACAAGTATAATAGTAGCATCCACTTTTAAAGTCCTACAGATTAAATGGGATAATGATTTTAAAGCTCAGTGCCTGGCACATAGTAAATTCTCCCCAGCTGGCAGCTATTATTATTTGAAGTAGTGATACGATCCTGACTCAGGATGCTTTGGGACCCTGAGTATCTAGCATCATGACAACATTCGTACGGGCTATTTATAAAGAACTAGCAGATAGGGTGCTATTCTTGTTGCTAGTTTTTCATTTCTCTAATTGCAGTGATCTAAGTGTTGTCTCTAACAAAAATGAGTTGCTGTTGTTTTCATTGCAGACAGTTGCATCTATAAAAAGGTTTGCCCATTTAATGGTGGCTCTTTTTTGGTTCAACCCTCTGCGTCAGATTTCCAGTTCTGTTGGAACCAAGCTCCTTGTGCGATTGGTAAGAAAAACCTTTATCATAATTTCTTCCTGCATAGCTGCCCAAATTTGATCCTATGTAGGCTTACTGTGAAATTGCTGTAAATTATCTGAATATAGTTAGTACTCAGAGTGTTCTTTTTCTTTGTAAATTTTTTTTCTTTTGCTTCTCTTTTGGGACTGTTATGTTTGACCATCCTCATTCTCCTCAGCACCTGAGCATGTGCACATTTGAGAGCCACGTAGTATCAGTTTTCAGTGTTTGTAACAGAAAAGTGACTTCCAGTGCTGGGAGCCACTTGAAATCCAAGTGGGTCCTTGGCTTCATGCAAGAGAGAAGTCAGGAGTGAGCTGACAGTATGAAGTGAAAGCAAGATTTACTCAGAAACCATAGAAAGTCCATTCCACAGAAGGGCACAGGCAACTTCTCCCCAAGAAGATAACTGGCCCCCTGGTTCCTGTTGTCTTTCTAACAGTAGCTTAACTATAGGCTAACCAAGGGGAAGAATATTCGTGAAGGGCGGTGTTCCTCCACCATGCTTGGAACTTGCCCTGCCTCCATCCCGTTTGGAACAGGGTAGTTAGAAACTGTTTTGCGGCTTCCTGGCTCATTTAGGTAATCTGCAGCAATGCCCAAAGCAAAGGCAGGACCCAAAGCAGCACCTGCCTCATCCCTGTCTCACTTCCTCTCATTTCTGGGTCTCACTTTCCTTTTTCTAAAGCCAAAAGCAGGGTCTCCAGGAGAGAAACTTAGGGGAGAAACTAAGCAGGACTTCGGGGAGAAACACAATGCTTTCAGCATCATTCGTGTGATTTTGGAGCCCAAAAGTTTAGTCACAGAAACTAGGTGTTTGCCTGCCACTAAAATGTGAGAACCCAAGTGGTAATGCTTAGTATCTGTGATTCAAGATCCCAATCAGAGCCAAGAATGTTCCAGGTCATACTGTTTGCCTCATGGTAAAACCATTTGTTAATAGGTGCACATTGTAGTTTTGAGAAGAGGGCAGAGAGACCAACTCAAGATCCTGGGAGGACTGGGCAGACTTGGTGACAGATAAGATACAGTAAAAGGAGAAGGAAGAGTAGAAAATGACCTCTAGGTCATGAGCCACAACACAGGAGATCACTCAGGAGATCAAGGCTAGAGGCACAGTCGTGGTAGACAGGGTCACCAGGGAAGCCACGAGGGCAAGGAGAGTCCAGAGAGAATGGGCCACTATGAGGGAGAGAGGACACGAAGCAGCCAGTGGAAAAGACAGAGGGTGTCACAGGACAGCCAGGATAGGTACAGTGTGTGGTCAGGTGTCCTAAGAACCATTTCAGGAAGAGGGGCCAGCCTTTAACATAAAACACAACAAGCATGTTGGACCCCAGGGACGCTACGCGCATGAGGGTCAGTGAGGAATAAGGTGCAGTGACTGTCAGACACGCAGAAGGGGGGCAAAGGAAGCTGGAGAGCTGGGGACACGTGGGCTGGGCCTTGAAGAGTGACCAGAGGGTTTCCAGGCACAGTTACCTGGGCCTGCCAGAAGTGTGTATCAGGCCACAGTCTGGGCAATAAAGGGGATGTCTGCAGGACTTTGGCAGGTGAACTATCAGGAGATAGGGTAGTGGGGCCTCAGTAGGGGAGACAGCCACAAGAAAGGAGACAGTACATGGCTACTAGGGCAGCAGGTTGGCACCAGGAGTGGAGTCTGCCTTAGGATGGGGGACATGCATGTGTGAAGGAAGGAGAGACGCAGCCAGAGGAATGGGAGAAATGGATGTTTCTCAAGAAGTGAGGACTGTGAAGCAGTCACCATGCAGCGGCTGGGTGGTGACATGCCTCTTACCTTGCAGTCTGTGCTTTCCCATACCTCCTGGCCTTCACCACAGACTCCATGGAGATCCGCCTGGTGGTGAATGGGAACCTGGTCCATACTGCTGTGGTGCCGCAGCTGCAGCTTGTGGCCTCCAGGGTGAGTAGCCTGAAGCTTCATTGCTGGGAAGGGACACTGGGAGCCTTGGCCCTCTTCAGGTGAGCAAAGATGCTGCTGCTGTCAAGCCAGGCTGATGACGTGTGTCTAAATGCCAGAGTGAAATGAAAAGGCTTAAACCAGACTGGTTGGCTGGCTTTTGTTTTAGAGTCATTCGGCACTGGTGACAGCTAGGGAGCACTCAGCCAAAAGAGAAGGCCCCTGCCAGCGAGTTAGTTATTCATGTCACTGAAGGGCAGCAGTCCGAGTTTAGAAAAGTGGAAAACGCTTACAGCAGCCCTGTCTTCTTCTGCCATACTCTATGCTATTTGAGTTCACATCAAACGCGCCTAATTGATAACCGAGGCTACTCGCCCAGAGGCGGAGCAAACCAAGGGAAGCAGGGACCAGCAAGACTCCTAGCATCTAATCCAGGAGGTCCTAATCCTGGGGTCCTAACCCCCAGGAGGGTCCTAATCTAGGACCCTCCTCTGAGTCAGCCCCACAAAGTCTTCCCTGGCCCTGCCAGACTGTGCTGGTCCCTCACTGCAGCCCCTGGGGCATGTCCTTGATCCTGACATTCAGCACACATTTTAGGGGGTGGCAGGGGTGACAGCTCATTTGTCCACCCTCCCTGATCCACTGACAGTTCTGTGAGAGCAGGGCCCTGCTGTTATTTGCTGGCACTACACCAGTGGCCGGAAAGTGACCACTAGCACCTCAGAAAACGTGTGTGTGTACATACACGTGTATATATTTTATATATATAAATGCATATTAGCTAATTGTAAATTTCACTGATATAAGAATAGCTCACAATTTACAAATAATAAAATATACAGTGTTCTTTATTGCAAAATCCATTAGCCAATTGGTTCTCAAAAAATGCTTTTTTAAATTTTTGCCTAACTCTTGTATCCATGGCCAACCTACAGTTACAATTCAACAGTGATTTTACAGTTAGAGTTATATCTTAAGCTACTTGTTCCTTTTCCAGTAAGTTTATTGCCATTAAATCTGGTATGTGATCTATGGTTGAACTATTTCTCACTCAAACAAACCATAGTCATCAAACTAAAACTTCTTTTGGCTTCTACTCTAGATACACTCTACATTTCATCTTTATTAATATTTTCTTCATCACATTAAGTCTAGACAATCAACAAAAAACCAAATCAGGCTCTAATTGGGAGCTTTGCCAATTTCCATGGTGTAAATAGTCCCATGGCTTTCAAGCTTCCAGTGTGACACCACTGCTGTGGGGGGTGGGGGGGTGCAGTAGCCACCAAAGTACAGTTTCCCCTGCACAGCTGCCTTTGATGTCAGTGACCTCAAGAGCAGTGATGATGATGCATCAAATAATTAGGAAAGGTTAAATTTTTATCTTTAGGATCTTTGTTTTTAATATAATTTATTCGAGTTTGCATAATTTAATTGTTAATAATGTATTTAACAGCCCACTTGCAAAATTCTTGAAAATTCACTTACACAAGTCACATCCAGCATACCCCTACTGACCCTCTGGACAGGCCAACTGAACCCCTATGATCCTTCCCAGTTCTAACCATCTGGGGGTCTGAGATTCCCACGAGGGAAGCGGGTGTTGTGTTTGTGTGTGTGAATCAGCAAACATGAGGAAGCGTAGAGAATACTCAGGAAAGGCCCAACAAGTTTTCCTCTGGAAGCCACTGCCCCCCACCCAGCCCTGGCACTTGGTACTGCACTTCATGCTCCAAGGAGGTCACAGATGAACCTGGGGACCAGCAGGAGGCTTTGCAGTGATGACAGGAGGGCCTAGAATGCCAGGCAGCTTGGTAATGCTTTCTCTTTCTTTCTAGTCGGATATATACTTCACGGCTGCTGCCACCGTGCACGAGGGCTCATCTGGAGGCAGCTCCAAGGGGACCAGCACCCACAATTCTCCTCAGACACCCCCGGGCCGAGATACTCCAGTATTTCCTTCTTCCCTGGGGGAAGGTGAAGTCCAGTTTTCATTGTATTTTCAATACACTCTGATTTTTCTAGTTGTCAAATATTTACACGTGATTACCGCCTAAAGAAGTTACCGTTTTAAACCATTTTAAATCTTGCAATCTGAATGCACTGGTTTCATTCTTAAGGAACCTTGCGATAACAAAAAGAATCCCATTATTCTCAGTGGGGAGAAGATAGTTAAAGGCTATCAAGTTGCCAACTTGAAATAGCAGTTATTTTTCCTTCGGGGCTATTAACACTAGTGGGATGTTATGACTAAAAGCACACAGTCACGCAGCCTGCACGGTCCCAGCCAGGCTGAGCCGCAGCAGCCTTTGCTCTTTGCTGTGGTTACTGCATTGCTCCCATCACGGCCCTTTTTGTAACTTCTTACCACATCAGTCATCTTTATCGCTGTTAAGATAAAGCACAAAGTTCCCCAAGCACAGCAGCTTTTTTGCTTTTCTTGTCTTTTTTTCCCACATACAGGTGTAACTAGTAGTGAGTGTATTTTATCTAATTTACACATGAGAATGATGTTCTTAGGAAACGCAAAGCCATCAGGCACCCTCATGTTAATGCTCCCTGCCATGCCTCCCCAGGGGACATAAAAGTCTCACTTCGTGCCAACTGTGTTGAGGAACAAGAAATTATTCTCTTATAAATAAAAAGAACTTTTCTTAAAGTGTTAATGTGGTTTTCTAAATCATATTTCAGGTGAAATTCAGTCAAAAAATCTGTACAAGATTCCACTTAGAAATCTCGTCGGCAGAAGCATCGAGCGACCCCTGAAGTCGCCCTTGGTCTCCAAGGTCATCACCCCGCCCACTGCCATCAGCGTAGGCCTCGCTGCCATTCCTGTCACGCATTCCCTGTCCCTGTCTCGAATGGAGATCAAAGAGATAGCAAGCAGGACTCGCAGGGAGCTGCTGGGTAATGACGCTGTGTTTCTGCTGCTGGCATACTGACAGCTGGTTTTACCTTGGGTATCGATCATTCTCAAAAACAATGGGTTTAAAAGGAAACTTGACCTTTTTTTTTTTTTTTGAAACAGAGTCTCACTATGTCACCCTGAGTAGAGTGCCATGGTGTCACAGCTCACAGCAACCTCAAACTATTGGGCTTACATAACACTCTTGCCTTAGCGTCCCAAGTAGCTGAGACTACAGGTGCCTGCCACAATGCCTGGCTATTTTTTGGTTGTAGTTGTCATTGTTGTTTGGCAGGCCCAGGCTGGATTCAAACCCGCCAGCTCTGGTATGTGTGGCTGGCACCCTAGCTGCTGAGCTACAGGCACCGAGCCGGAAACTTGACCTTTAAGAAGGAATTTATGAATAAATGGTAGTACATCTACACCAAGGAACGCCACATAGTGTACCCACCAATAGTGATGTCAATCTGCGCTTATTGGCATGAAAAGCTGCCCAAACCATGTTAAGGGGGAAAACAGGCAGTTTATTAAACAGTATCCTTTAGAAAGTACCAAGGGACAACAAAAAAAGCCACTATCTCTAGTCTGATACAGTTTCCTAAATTAAAAGCTCCTCTACATGTATGATTTCCTAGAAAAGAGTCTAGAGGGATTGACATCCTGCAGCTCTCAGATATTTTCTATTGATACATCAGCTACGTCCCACAGTGGAAATTGCCCATGTTTTACAGGTGTGTGTGCAGTTCACTTATCATTTCTCCCAGCCTCTCAACAGTGGGGCCAGGGCTGCTAGTACAGATACGAGGTGTTTGTGGGGCCCTTTTTAGTATACAGAGGGGAGGCCAGCCCAGAAGCATAAAGCATCTGATAATTATGAAAAGGCTAGACTGTTATAAAAGCTTTTGTTGGCTCGGCGCCTATAGCTCAACCGGCTAAGGCGCCAGCCACGTACACCTAAGGTGGCGGGTTCGAATCCCCAGCCCGGACCCGCC